CAATGGTCAAGGCAAGTTTCATGATTGTGACGAGACAAGGAATTAAAAGCCCGTGGTTCGAAATTCAAAGACCATTTCTTAAATTTAGGCTGCTTTCATCAGTACATATATTTTGGCTACATTGTGCATGATGCATGGCTTCGATTTGGCAGACATTTGGTGGTTTTATATAAACTAATGTAATGATGTGTTTTGGACAAAATGCACTTCCAAGTCACACAAAAATTCCAAAAATTTGGTCAATCACGACTTTTATTTGATCACCACTTATATAATCATTTATTCCCCTTCAATTCATTCTTTAACATGACGGTTTTGCTATTTATTTAAATCTTCACGAACAACTTGATAAGGGCAGCGACATTTTAACTCTTTGATTACATTCGGTAGAAATCATTAAAAACGAGGGATTGAAATTGAGATTACAATTGAGAAAATTTAGTAAAAGAGTATTTAGTATAAAAAATTACCTGTTATATAGGATCAGCCAAATCCATATATGTGGGAAGAAGTGATTTGTCTAATCCCATATAATAAGTAATCACTCATACTAAATACTATTTTAATATTTTTTTTAATTGCAATCCCAACCCCAATCTCATTTTTAATACTTCGTACTAAACGGAACCTTTATTCTTCAAAATTGAAGAGATCCGATTCGTATATTATAACCTATATATATATATGTGCAATATTCCTGCATCTAGAAATTAATAGAAACGTGAAATGCGAGTCTCATATATCTATCGAAATGGGACTTATCGTAATTTCCACTTATAGGGATTGTTTTGATGAAGGTGGACCGAAATATGGATTTTCAGTGATGCACGAAACTGAGTTTTCTATAATGTTTGATAATTTATATACCAAAGCATGCAACTTGTGTAGCCAGGCACACAAATTTGTGTATGATCCACAAAATAATTGCACGAGTATATCTGATTTGGACGATACGCTGAAACTGATGGTTCCTGTATTTTGACAACTTCATACCATTCTGTTTTTGGTTGGAATCGTTGATGATGTTCATTGAACGAAAATGACAGCAGAAATCGCAAAATCTCATAACTGGGTACACAGTGAGAAGGTGAGAGATAGTGACCTCAACGGGTGAATGAGAAAGGTGAGAGAGATAATGACCCCAGCGGTGAATGAGAAAGGTGAGGTGGAACTGAAAGTGAGAGAGAACGACAAATAGAAATAATCCTCAAGCAGATAGCTTGAAGGTTACTTCTATCCCCCCTTTTTTTCATAAGCATCTAGTATTTGGGCTAACTCCTCAAAAAATTACAAACCAGATACTAGACTAATTTGGATTGGGCCGTGGTAGGACTCGTAAGGGCCTAACACCGAGATTGCTGTGTTCTCCAATGATGGAACTCGAAAGCTTTGTTGTTAGCCTGACAATGTCTCGAATAGGATTGCCTCTAATAAGAGGATATCTATGCTTTAGTAAAAAAAAAAAAAAGTTCTTTTGTAGCGTGAAAAAAGAAATGGTATCTATCTATCCATGCAAAATCAACAGTGACACGAGAGGCATTTTAGAGCGGGCCAGGGTTCAATATAGGTCGGCCATGATGGACTGAGCCGCCCCTTTAAGAAGCCCAACTGTTAATGGGTTGTGAATTGGGCCGGCCTTACTCTGGTTGATTTTGTCCGTTTCTCTTTTTTTGGGCCTGAAGATGTTACTGTTTTTACAATCTCTACCAAGTTATCTCAGAAAAATTCTTGCGTGGTGAATTTAACTTTTTGTGGGATTTTTTTTTGGGGAGGGGTGTATAGCACGAAAAATTATGATTCCTATGTGGATTTCAACCCCCTATTTTAATTTTATATGTCTCAATGTACCCTATACATTTATTTTTCTTTCTTTCTTTTTTGTACAAATATACATTTATGTTTCTAAGAGAAAAGTCCCAGCACTAAAAACGAAACATAATGGTTACGTTTGGTACGGAGTATTAAAAATGAAGGATAATAATTGGAACTGGGGTTGAAAACATATATTAAAAAGATACTTAACATGAGTGATTTCTTATCAAATGGGATTAGGCAATCTCATATAGATAGAATTGGAGAATACCACCTCCTATGATAGTATTCCTCAATCCCACATATATGGGTTTGTTTAATCCCAAGTATTATATAATTACTCATACTAAACACTCTTTTCATATAGTTTTATGTTTTTAATCTCAATCCCTATCTTTTATTTTTAATGTTTCATGCCAAACGAGACCAATGGGCTTACCGCAGGACAAACTTTGCCCAACCCCATGGATTGGGCGGACTAAAAGCCCACTTTCAAAATGAGCCTTGGATTTACTGGCCTCAACTCACCCTTTAACGTTGTGAAAAATGGCAACTGCCAATCAGATTTGAGTCTACTAATTCCTTTGTGAACTAAGGTTTCATTTAAATTCCTACTAGAAATAATGCTCGCATTTGCTTGTCAACAATGTTTCGAATAGATTATCTCAACTAACAAGAAAAAAGTGGAGAGAAACTCACCCTAAACAAGGTATGATTGAAGACTAAACTATCATGTTTGCCCTTTAAACAATAACAAAACTGTTGATATTTAGCTTTGAGAAACAGAAAACATGAAAGAAACGATGAAGGAAAAGAACGAGAAAAGGCTGCTTATGCCTCTGGCCTCTGGGAACAGCTAAAAATGATAAGAGTTTTAGAACGCAATGATCAAAACCAACCCGTGAGGTTTTGCTTTCAATACCAACTTTGAAATTTAAAAGCTCACTTTAATTTCTAACCCCACAAGAACCCTCCAATCTACTTTCATCATTGTAATTATAATGCCGTTATTTGCTATTCGTTGGCATTAACCTCGAGTCAGACATTTTTTGTTTTGTTTTGTAACACAACATATACTAATTCCTACGCACGGAGGGACACGCCAAGCTAAGAGAATATTATTATGTACTACACAATACTCTGAAAATTCCATTTGCCTTCATAAAAAAAACTTCAACGGCCTCCACCATCTGACTAAAATGAAGCATCCTACAAAACTAAAGTTTAGTGGGACGTCAATGGACACGATTTAGCTTAGCTACGAGCATCATCAAAAGCCATATAGGAATCTTTACCTTTTAGGCTTTTGCTAATTATGCTGCTCACGCCTTTTAAATTATTTTTGTCATTTACTACCAAAGGTTAAGTGAATATATATAAATAAAAAACCCTTTTTGCTCTTGTTGACCTTGGCTAGCTCGAAAAGACTAAAGATATATAAACAAGGTACTGAGACGAGATTGATCTCAAGCACACCATTCATCATTATAACCCCAGAGTGTCAAATTGTACTCGAGTATCACCGAAAGTTGAATCATCCCCTCATGGAACTTCCTCAATATAATTGTTCTTCTTCTACAATTTCAGATCATTATTATGTTTACATTCGATAATTCAAGTACTCCCTTATTAAAAAAAAAAAAATCTAGCCAGAGACCATGTCTTGAGGAAGCATCCGTGCGTTCTTCTTGCTTGACGGTTGAATGGATATCATGAGAAAATTTTAAAGAGACTGATTTATTAAAGATAAAATATTGGAATAAATATGGCCAGTTAACTAGGATGTCCTTGTACTCCTCCAATTCTAAATATAAAAATGTGTATAAGGGTTTTATATTTAAGACCGGAAAAGTATATTAGTATGTTATATATATATATGTAAAGGGGAATTACCATGAGATCCTAAGCAAGAAATTTCATAGTAAAAAGTTTTAATAACAAGCAAGTAGCTCAAATTTATCGTCATTTCATATTCTAGAACTTGTCATTACTTACTATTCACTTGTCAATAGATAATTAAATATCTTCTCTAGGATCTCATTGTAATTCTCCTTATATATAATAATGAATGTAATTTGGTGTATTATATATATAGTTTGGTCACGGGAGTTGGATTTTGATTGGAGTTGACTCGTTAATTAAGAGGATCAAATTTTGGCGAGCTTTCAATATCAGCGAGATCAACCAGAATCTTCACATCGTCATCTACTGCTTGTAAATCATTCGACAACGACGTCGTTTGCAATTGTGGAAAACCCCCCCCTTCTCTCTCTCTAGTCTATGTATATACACATATGCATGGATAGTTTCTCTCTTTTAAGTTCTTTGCACTTTGCAGGACCGTTTTCATTTTTTCAAACGTTGGCTTTTTACAGAACCAAGTCGCCCACTCTTGACTCATCTTTACAAGAATACTATTTTCAGTCGGTGAAAAGTGGGTCCCCTTTTTTAAAAGCAAAAATGTTATGATAACGTCCTCCCCCCGGACCATTCCTATGATAACGGGGACGTCCCTTAGACCATGATTTCTCCATCCCTTTTTTTTATATTACATTTAATTATTTTTATGAAAAGAAATTACTATCAGTTATGGGGTGCATTAACGTGAAGGGAAAGCTCATTATTTAAAAATTGCTTTTTTAAAGCATTTATAAGCATTGAGATGATATTATTTTATTATATAGCTCACACCGCTTCTATAAGCAACTTAACCCATTCTTAACAACCATATATCGCCTCTTGTTTGCACATTTATAATTAATTTTATCACTGTATATACATAGAATTCAAACTTTCTATGCAAATACATGTGCTGATTATATGAATAAATTGGCAGGGAAGTATAATTAAGACATCGATTTCGTTGAATTTAGACTAATGAAATAATTTATTTATTCTAGAAAAATCGTTTTTGTTTGGGCTAAACATGTAAACAATATTTAAATTTTTCCTCATCTCAGTCATGCATGTACGTACAAATCAATCCAATAAATTTTAAAATAAAAATCTCACTCTTTATATATATATATATATATATATATATAAATTCGTACCTTGTAAAAAAAAAAAAATTCCTAGGCATTCCTTCTGAATACAAGCCAAGTGGGACCTCCCCACCATAAAACAGCCAACCATATCCTGAAAAGGGAATCTGGGTTTTCTGATCTCAAGCAAGAAAGGGATTTGATGCTTTTAGTGTCGGCTAGTTTTTATTTTGTTTAATTAATTCCCATGAAGAAACCCTCAAGAAACCTCCGCCCTCTTCTTCCTCTTTAATATATTCTTCAGCAACACACTCTATACTGCTTCCTTCTTCGATTCAATAATTTCCTTTCATCATTCCGCCGATATGGGAAACTGTGTCTTCAAAGGCTTCAACTATGGCGACGACATGATGGTCAAGGTCGTCACCGCCAACGGAGGCATCATGGAGCTTTATGCTCCCATCACCGTCGAGTGCATCACCAATGAGTTTCCCGGCCACGGCATCTTCCGCCGCAGCCGCCCCGCCTTCTTCTCCGAGCCCATGCTCCACTCAGATGAGCTTGTCCCCGGTGAACTCTACTACCTTCTGCCTCTCGATACTTCTGGCCTTTCTTCCTCCGGCAAGAGCATGGCCAGAAAACTACAAGACGAGGAGTCAGCTGCCAACCTTACACCATACCGGATGTTCAGTTACGACAAGAACAGCCATAGAGACGGCAAGGAAGCCGAAGTGGTTCCGAGATATAATAGCTCCGGGGTGTGGAAGGTGAAGCTGGTTATAAGCCCCGAGCAGCTGTCGGATATTTTGTCGCAGGAATCGCGCACGGAGGCGCTGATCGAGAGCGTGAGAACGGTGGCTAAGTGCGGCAACGGGTTGCCGTCGGCGGTTAATTCCGATAAGTGGAGCGTCTCTGGCAGTTGGAAGGGTTCTCTCTCAGAAAAGATGGCTTTCGATGGTTAGCTAGTTACTTGTTAATTGCGATTTAATTTCTGCCGTTAATTAATAAGTAATAACCCACATTAGCCGATCATCTCCTTAGTTCATTTGTTGATTTCTTTTACATTTTCTTTTTCTAATTTCTTTAGTATTGGTTGGTATATAAATATATATGAAGTGTGAATGTTAGACTAACATTTAAAACTTCGATATATGTCCTTCACATGCACATGTTACTATACGTTATATCGATTATTAATGATTAACGTATTAGGAAAATTGTTATACTGATTATTATTACAGGAGTAATTAGTGCACTCCTTATTATCTGATCTTGATATCTTTCTCTTGGCCGGGCTCCAAAGAAAACATTGTGAATGCGTGATGTTTTAATTAATTCTTTATAATTAATTACAGAACATTTTAATTAAAATTATATATGTGGCATATATTTTGATACCGGATAATTATCTTATTTTGGATAAAAATATGACAATGAATATATAATTGAAAAAACCTTGTTAATTTAATTGTATATTGCGGATGAATTGCTTATACTAGTCTGAATATATAGTCTCATAAGCTGTGCTGTGATCATGTGTTAATTATTAGGGCCTGCACAATAAAGGAACTTGATTAAAGCATATTATATGTTCATCCCATTATTATTACTATTACTGACTTCAGTCTTTAATATAAAAGTTAGATAATTAATTTATAAATTTTAAGAAAATTAGTTAATTTTTGTTTGTTTGTAATAAATAAATATTATCTTTCTTAAAATATTTTTATTAATTATGTGCATTTGAATTATCTCTTGATAATAACTCCTTAATATGTAATCACCATAGAGATTACTTGAAGGCAAAATAGAAAAACATTGAAGACAAATTGAATTAGGACATTATATTTAATACTAAATTAAATCTTCAAATAACTCTTCTATTAAGAATTGAGAATAGTACTTCTCCGATTCTAAATATAAGACCTCTATACTAGTATGTATAAGGGTCTTATATTTAGGATCGGAGGAGTATTATGATTTGAAAGAGTGGAAGAATGCATTAAAAGTATAGAGCACGAAGCAGAGCAAGAAAAGCAGCAAGGGACAAGGGAAGTAGTTGTTGGCAAGGTAGAAGCCATACATTTGGAAAACAATCTGTGTTGTGTGCTAGAATTGATGATGTAGTAGTTCGATAAGCACAAGTGTTGGATGGTTAAATATTAAATGAAACATTGCTATTATTAAATAATAATTGATGTAATTCTTGGGGGTTATATATATATATATATATATATATATATATATATAATCTATAAGAATAAAAGGCGTTGGTTCAACATCATGTGGTTCAAGAGAGAATAAATTGAATTTGCAGGCAGCATGCCTGTGGAGCAGGAGTTTGTTTTTACGTAAGCACAGAAAATCCCATGCTCACATGCATGTCAACACCTTACGCTTTAACCCCACATTGTTTTACTCATACGCCCAAAAAATATCAAACAAACGGAGAAGCACGCAGAAAAAAAAAATCAAAGAAATAGTTTCATTCTTGTTTGGTTTTTCTTTTGATGGTATTAATATATAATAAGATGAAGAGGCACGGTGATGTGTGGTACAACCTCCCCTGATCCATAACCTTGTATTATTTTTGTTTCTTAATATAAAATCTAGTTTGCAGTTTGAGCTAGAGATTAAATTTTATATTAAGGCTCAAAGGTACTAAACCCTTTATATTTGATTTTCAATTTCTTAATTCGCTATTGGCCAACTCAAATTTTTTTTTTTTTAAGTATAGGTATCTTTCTATTGGAGATAATCCTATTCGAGATACTTTTGGGTATTAAATGTGGACACTTCTTTTAACTGGGATTCGAATCTTGGTTCATTATATTATGAAAAACTAACTCATTTTGTTTAACCTAACTCCTGTTGGTTGACAACTCAAAATTTGAGGAGATGTGATGGAATTAAATGAAAACTTACCCACCTGAATTTTTTCTTCCCATGATCAGGCCCATGAGCCCAATACCAGGCAACTGTCTTCCCTTGCGCAGATCATGTCCCAATGATATTATTCGCCCTAATGCTAAGAATGGGTTTATTTGATATTTTATCCTAAGGCCCATTTCAATTTTCTCGCCGATTTAAAAGGCCCAGTCTGGTATTTTCAGGTTCCTCCCGGCCCCCGGGGGGGCCTGCAGGTGTTATTCGTTCCTCCAGAATTGAAAAGAAAGAAACAGACGAGTAATATGGCAGAGTCTCTGTTCAGAAGCTCCCTAATAAATACTACTTTCGATCTTAATTATAAGATCTCATTTATAGATTATAAACAGGATTTTATAATTACGACTGGAGGTAGTAAATAATAGTACTTCTCTGATATTTAATATAAGACTTAATTAGCTAATTTAAGTAAATTAATGATGTTAATTAACATGATATATATATTTGTTTAAAAACATCTTAAGTATCTTTCTTAATTTCTTTTCTTCATCTCCTATGAAATTTCGTGGGGCATAGCTTGAAGTGAAATAATGTAGAGCCCAGAAATGATTGAAAAGCCTGCAAAAATGGAAAAGAAGGAATAAAGAAGATGGAGAGAATTGTACGTGAAAGGGGGCTGCCACTTCTTTTGTCAACGACATCATCTTTGAAACCTCTAAACAAAACTCACCTAACGCTCCAAGTAAAGCAAAATGAAGCCGGCAACTATATATAGATCCATCGCTGAATGACCATTTAATTAAGAATCTCTCCCAGCAAAGATTAGACGCCCTTTGATCTGTTTTGCACGCAATGTCTCAGTTCCTAACATGTTTGTAACATTCAACACGTTTCTTTTCTTTTGTTTTGTCTCTTCAGTTCCTCGTCGATCAGCAGTACACAGAAGTCTACCAGCAACCTATATATTCTATATTTCTCATGATGCTTTCTTTCCTCTAGGAAGTTTACATGATAGAATTTAGATTTGACGTATTTACTTTACTCGCATTCGCCTTCAACTTTTACTTTTCTTTTGTATATTTTTTGCCTTTTTTTTTAAAACTCTAAGCAAATTACATTGACTCATGTCGAGTTAGTTCATGAAAACTATGGTTATTTAATAGAAGGTTAGAGGAAAAATTTATCATAAAAGTTTTCCTTAACTTTTGATTCGTGCAGTATTTCTCTTGAGGCTTGAAATAATAACATTTGATCAATATTGATCATTAGTTGAATAATTTTGACTGGGATCGAAATGCAATCTTGTGTCAATTTTTTTTTTTTTAAAAGAGTAACTGGTATTCTAAGCTTTTATCTGACGCAATGTTTTTAGATTATCAATTTTCAAAAATGAATTCAACTTTGAGGATGAACTCTTCTATGGATAAAGATTATAGGGAGCTTTTTACAAAAAAACTTGAGGGACAGATTTGAAAATGAGCGTAAAACATATGGATCGATTGCTTAACACCCCCCCCCCCCCAAAAAAAAGAAGAGTATGTAAGAGTCGTGGGCTCGTGGCAATATCCTAACAAGTAGTCTAAGCTATTTTGGTGAAACAGTTCAAGCCTATGCAAGAAAAAATCACGAGTTAAGGTGGAATTATAGTAAAAACAAATTTTTTTTGTTGCCATCTAGAGTGAAAAAGATTTAAAAAGAAGAAAAAGAAAAATATAGGCTTAACTACCACACAAAGTCAGGTTGGCCCCATAAAAAAATTATTTGACGTAAGACTTTTGAGCTTTAAAGAAAGAAAAACATAGGCCCAAAAAAAAAAAGAAGGAAGGTTGTGATTTGACATATTCAAAAGGTCAAAAATAACAAAAGATTAAAAAAATAATGAAAGCTGTGGCCCAAGACTCTAATAAAATGGGGAAAAGGAGGAAGCCTAATTCAATCATACTCGAGGGAAGTCTTTGATCAAATTCAAGTCTCGCATCTAATAATGATAAGAAAAATAAAGGGTATATAAGTAGCTTAATTTTTTTTTTTGTGACATGAGTCAGTCCGAGCATAAACTCATATATACAAAACTTAATAATATATGGGACAGACAAAAACTAGACTTAAAAATATGAATAATTCTTATATAATGATCAGTCAAATTCAAGATCTAATTAAATATATTCCAAAATTTTTGATTGAGTGAAAAAGACAAGTCTTTAATTGATGATTCGTAGCCTTGAACTCCACATAATTTATTTTGAATACACCAAAACTTAATACTTTAAAAAAAAAAGTTTTTTGAAGATTATTATGGAAAAAGTGACCCAGAAGATCTAGAAGCTCGCGAAGGGAAAGAGAGGTAGGTTTTAAGGATCTTTGGAGTCCAATTTATTGGTGGATGGTACATATCAGCTTTGAGGCTTGGACATTTTTTTCTTCGAAGTTCTTGTCCTTTGTGTTGATATAAACATGGATAGATGATAATGTTGCTGCCGTACGTTAGTTTTGATTATTCAGAGACCAGTTTAATTCGGGAAACCTTTCTTTAAGTTTACTTCTGGTATAATTAACTTCGATCCATTTTCAGTTGAGATTTAACAAGAAAGTGTAATTAAGAATTGTGGAAATTTGATATTTATGAAATGCTCAGATTCTTGAATCGAGCGAATTACTTCAGTATTAAGAGTGAACTAATTCTTTAAATATACATAGATTTTTGTCTCTCTCTTTTGAGCAACAGATATCTGAAGGACCAATTCGTTCCCCAATTAATGTACTTACAGATTATTGAAAATAACTAAATAAGAGAGAAAAGATGATTAAGCCAAGTAACCTCAAGAAGCTTCTATTACTGTCATCATTTTCCCAAAATAGATTTATTGATCATAAAGGATGTGTAACTATATGATCTTCACAAATTTATGAAAAATGGCGCGGAACATTATCAGCAGTATTTAATTGATTAAATTAATGAATTCAAAATTTCAAAATGATTTGTAAATTATATCAAAAGGAGTACGATTTTGAGAATCATTCTGCTAGTGTTTTGAATTTATATGGGGAAGTATATAAAGTATACTGGCAAATTTCTTGGATAAGTTTGTCTATGGAGAGTATTGAAACCTTTTAACTTTGAAGGTTCCAAACACGACGCAATCCATGAATGTGCATGGTTATTGTTACCCACAATGGCCCGGGAATTGTCAGCAAATTAATTATTTAATTATGGCACATTTAATTGATAATAATAAGTAATTAGGTGATTCAATTATTAATATAACTATACAGGCTTGTCTTCGATGAAAATGAGTGATATGGACATTTTAAAGCCTAAAATTAAGATTCTTGACGAGGAGATAGGTGACAAGTAAGTAGTTCATCATTGATATGAATGTACAGTAAAAGCAATCTAGAACTTTACTGAAAAATATATATGTAGTACGAAATTGTTATATAGAAGTTTTTAAAAAATTGTTTAAGAGAATTAATCACCTATTGTAAAGGAAAATCACTTTTAGAGTCAAACTAACGTCCAATTAATTTAATTAGAAGTCAAACGTGGAGTTGCATTAATCATCAAAGACGAATAAAAGCAAATCCGAAATAAATCCCCACGCACACAGAACCCTGCGCAATATACCACAAATTAAGTGACATTATTATAAGCATAAATATTTACACTCTTGCTTCAAATCGCCTTCTTCTAGATATTAAGAAGCATACGGTTCTCTTCATGGCTTTCAATTTATCTCTATAATTTAAGCATGCGGATAATTCATAGCAATGGGAAGAAGAAATGTCTTAATAATTAGGTGCATAACGGAGAGTATCTTCTAAATTAATACTCACATGGGGAATTAATAAGCTATAAAAAGAAATGATTTCATTTCAATGTGATGTTTCTTTCAACAAATGGGGACCTCATCAACCTCTCTCTAATTGATTGTTTCTTTCTAAAAGAAAATAATTTCAGACCGCAAGCTGTTTTAGCTTGAAATTGGAGGCATCAAGTTGCGCCCATAATGGGGTCAAAATTAAACTGAGAAAAAACGGCAAGGTGATGAGCTAGCTTGTCTTCCCCAGAAAAAAATGACATAAAATAATTGATACATAGAATTAATTAATTAATTACTGTCGCCTTAAAGAGAAGGAAAAAGTTAAGCTTTCTGTAAAGAAAACCGACAGAATAAAACGAAGCAAATAAAAAATTTATTAAGAAAACCAAACCTTCAAAGTATGTTCCGCCTATCCTTTCCTTGTCCCCTTCAAAGTGTATAGCAAAGTCTAAACGATATCTGATCAACACTTTATAGACAATAGCATTAACAAAAC